CCTCTTTCTATACTTTCATTCATCGGCAAAAAAATAAAAAAGCAACATCAATAATCCTAACCCATTAGGGCGTCAAACTCACGTCCAAGGTGACTCCTGACCAAAATGGCGCCAGGATATATTTTTTGTGGCTTAATATCGATTACGTGGGGACATCCTTTAAAAAATCATTTGAAATAACACTAATTCAATCCTATTTTACAATATACGAGTCTGCATAAATGCATCTTCTGTTACTCGTTATGTTTGAAAAATGACTCAGAGGGGTATAAAATTAACAGCAATGTATCAATTTCTAAACGTTACGAACGTAATCGGAGTGAAGGTACAAAAACAATTCGTTTATTTTTTTCTCTACAACTCGGTTAATGATGGCACAGAAGTCACGTTTTATAATGCTTTGTTATTATACAAAACCTGAGGCATTAAAATTGTATTACAACCAGTAATGGAGGTCCTAATTGTCGTTAAATCGACCGTTTTCGACGACGGAAATATGTTTAAATCGATTTCGTTTATAGTAGTTTCGAGACGATTGTTTTTGATTCAAGAAATTGTCTTTTGCTGCTATTACTTTTTTAATCTGTTTTTTTTCTATGACACTTTGAGACCAGGAAAATTGTAAGGGAATGTTTGGATCAAAAACCATTATTAACCTACTGCAGGACATAATGACTTTTAAATAATTTCATTTTCTCATATTTTCTACTGATTTTAAATCCATAAAAACAAATGTAGTCTATTTAGTCAAGATTTTATACGAATAATATTAATTGCGTGGCAAAATGAAAATTTTTAGTTGATGATTGATTCGAAATTCAAATATAAAAGAAAACATAGTTATAGTTTGCAAACAACATTATTGTTTTTGTTAATGAGTATTATTCAGTACGTAAAGTACTGAATAAATTACAGAAATAATAATGAAATTTTTAGAACTATAATTCTATTATTCTTATAATCTTAGTGATTTATATTTATAACTTAGTATTTATTATAAACTTAGTGACTTATTTTTATCACTGATAATAATAGTAGGTAAATGAATTATTCAATCAATTAAAATATCCTACTACTTTTATAGATGAGAAACTTTGGAAAAAAATATAAATTTCATGCAAAGACACAAGGAATGATTTGGATTTAATTTACCGCGTGATTACAAGGGGGCTTACAATTTAGTTTACAACTAAGTTGAATATTTGATACAAACTGAAGGCTCTAATCTTAGCAACGGCTTAACCTATTTGACACCGGTTTCCAGTGATGTATATTTTCATACTTATATTGTTATTTTTCATTATCTTTTCTTTGATATTTTTTGGCTTTATTTTTGGTCATGTGACTTGTATTATAATAGAACGAAATATATCTTTTAATTTATAGAGAAAAAGATATATAATAAAATTTCATTTTTAGAATATTTTCAAAAGCTGCCTGCTGATGTTTTTAAGAAACGCATGGTAGGTATAGGGTTGGCAAAATATTTATTTTTGTAATTCCTTTTTTATAGCTTTTTGACCATTTCTGATTAAGGGGGAGTGTTGTAACTGACTAATCAGATATGTATTTTATATTCTAAATTTGTATTTAAATTTATAGTTCTTTTATATTACGTTCTTTTTTTTTGATACTTAAATTCATTCTTTCTGTTCCTAATATGTCAGTCTATTATTAATATATTTTCTCCATTTTACAAAGTATTCTCGTAATATTTAGTGACTGATTCATTTCAGACTGTTTAGGTCGCTCTAGAGGGGGGAAAGGGGATTGTTAGTAATGTGGACTCATGACCCCATTACTAGACAATGTACTATACTATAAATTCCTGGTGAATTTGTCATGATGGGCTGACTGACCTGACCTCATGTTCACCTTATCATCCTCCACTGGTGCCCCGCCAGCGTAAACCGTTAGCGCAGGCGGTTGCACCATACCATTATCATCCATAAAAAAAAAAGTCGCTCTAGATGAGTTAGCACACCGCCTTACACCTAGTAGATCAATTCTTGCACTATACAAACATTTGTATTCATGATTATGATTGGCTGTATTTATATATAGATTTAGATTTAGTATATATATAGACGGCCCCGGTGGTCTAGCGGTTTAGCACACCGCTTTACTTCCTTGGTTATTATTGTGATATTATATATATATATATATATATCATTTATTCATATTATTTACAGCTTGTACTATACTTACCTATTCACTATTTTCATTGAACTTCTATTTTACTGATGAAGACTGTACAAAGTCGTCTGTATGGGTAACTCTATCTCATCTATTTCTGCCGCCAAAAATTTTTATGTAAGCTATTTTTCAGTTAAAGGGTGTTAGAATACAGTGAAATTACAGGATAAGAGACATAACATGTTAGTCCTTCTGTCCTTAATAACGTGATGTCCGAAGTACTGTTCATGTATATATGTGTCGGTGGCTACCGATTCATAGGTAAATTGTTAGCTTATTTGCCATTTCAATTAAGTTACTTAACTGAAATTGTACAGGTAATCTTTACATATAATATGAAGACGCTCCCGCTATCTGTTCGCTTTGATCTTTTAAAATACGCAACGAATTTTAATGCTATTTTTAAAAATAGGTTGATTAATTCAAAAAGAAGATTTATAGATATGTATAATACATGTACATATATGTCGCATATATGTACAAAAACAATAATGTTGTTTGCGGCTAGTAGTATATAAAACAAAAACTTCACATGGGATGAGGTTCTCAATTACACCTTATTTTTTTTTAACGAAATATTATAAAAATGTTTTACCGATTTTGTTTCTTTATATTCAGATTTTTAAATATAAAGCTTTTATTCCCATCTTGGACCTCTATTCTACTAAGTTCAGATGAAGTTTGATATTTTTTGTGAAAAGTATCCTCTATAGAAACGAGTGGGAAATAAAGGATTCTGTGGGAATATCTAGTTTATCATAATAAAACAACACACTTCATATTATCATATTTTATTAAAACATCCCTTGGATGATGATGTCTATTGAAAACTCCTTAATCGAACAATAATTTATACAATTTCTTTGTTTTGTGTACAATACATACGAGAGTTGGGCATTTCATGGAAACAATTCTATTGTGTTTGCCAATGAAAGTAGATGAAGCCAGGCATTTATAGTACCTAAACATACTTTTGGCACTTTTACAACATACAATACATTTTATAATACAAATACAATAAACGGGTAAAGCCTGTGAATTTTGATGTTCAGTTCAGTTCAGTTCAGTTCATCGGTAGCACTGGTCTTATTTAGAAAATCCTTTCAGTGTTGAATAGCCCATTTATTGTGGAATGCTATAGAAAATATATATATTCATATATAACATTTCGCTACGAGCATTAGGAGTGGAACAGGGTTAGATGATAAATGTTCCAAAAACTGGGAAAATCTCACATGGAGGAAGTTCCGTGGCCTTTTGCCATTCTTTTTTTAAATATTTTATATATATATATATATATATATATATATATATATATATATATATATATTAGAGACTAAATAATACTGACTAAAAATATAATGTTTATATATTTGAAAATGGAATGCATAATCCGCTTATAGGGTTGTGGCATTTCAATGTCCGTAGAATGATTTTATAATATATTTTATACCGTTGTAATTAGGTATGCTTAAATTAAAATAATTTTATCTTGTGTATATGTTATTATTCCCCTTTCCCGTATGTATGAACACTAATTTCTTAAGGCCTGCGCAGACTTCATTTTTGTTTGTGTTTACTTGCAGAGAATGCAAACTCTTGGGCGTTGTAGGGTGCAATACTATTATGATGGGTACAAAATGTACCCAAAAAAATAGAAATATACTTTTAATAAAATTACCTTACTAGGTATACGCACTGTAGAATGGTCATTGTTTTTTTTTTAATTTTGTCTGGTCTACGCACGGCCCTTACGTTTGCACATAATTCTGAATAATTGAGCTAAATACATACAATACCTAAGTAGTCTTAATATTTACAAGTACGTGGAATGTCATAAATAATGTATTCTCAGTTAAATATAACAAAATGATTGAATATAATAATAGAAACAAAATTAAGTTTTTTATAATGAGACAACATAACTGATATTGTGTGCCAGAAGATAGAATTCGGATTTAACTTGAAACCCAGTGCTGACTTCGGCGACCAAACTAACAAAAACGACTCTAGCAATTTGGTCACCGAACAGTAAGCACGTCGCAATGTGAAGTCACACGCATACAATATCGAAAATGATATAATGCCTACATTTTTTAATACTGATCTTTATCTTTCTGGTAATAAGGTTGTGAATAGTAGCCGTTGGAAGAAAAAAAATATAAACAATTTTCATAAAGTTATAACAATATTATGACATGTACTGCAGTGACGTAATACATTTGTCTGTATATTAAAAATGTAAAAAAAACTGTTTTTAAAAATAACAGTTATAAGCGTTTACTTGATTTATAACTGAAATTTAATTCTTACTTCTAGTACTTAATAAGTACAAAGCGAGATCCAAGAAAAAGCTAATGAGCGCAAAGTTTTAAGAGCCAAGTTCGTAAATAATATTTATATTTAATATATTTACAAAAAATAAAAATACACTTATATTAACATTACTATATATACATTTAATCAGTTAAATTAGTAATTACGAAATATGAGATAGCTCAGTAAATGTTTAATATAATACTGTTCATTTCAATAAACACATTAAGTAAACTTAGTTATAGAAGACATAAAAAATCTATGAAATTTCAAGATGATTACAACTTTAATTAAGTACTTACTTGAACATTTGTGTAGTATTTTTTTAATATATATATAACGTAGACAATATTGCTTAAAATGTACAACACTGTAGTGCTCTAATAACACAATTTATTTTATTATATTTTTAATTATTTTAACTTAAATATTTAATAATAAGTACTACAAAATAATTATATTTATTTCATGATAAGTAACTTCATGGGGTAAATCGTTTTAATTTATCATAATAATACTTTCAATTATCGATTTTTAAAATTAGAACATTATATTGTGCTTCCGAGATACATAGAGTATTGAGATCGCATTCTATTTACATTTTTTTAATGAGCATAATGCTTTGTAATAGTGTAATATGTATTTACAAGCAAGAACAAAATATCATGTCTCATGTAGGATATACAAAACATGTTTTAAACAGAATTTGTTCAAAGTTTTATGTGAATGTTCCAATACAAAATTAGATTAGGTTTCAACATATAGGTGAAGCGACAGGAGGCGGATGGGGTGGTGGCGCTGAAGCCGCTTGTGCATTCAGGAATCCGTTCTGGTTTCCAGCCCAAGGTTGTAAATTCTGTAAAGCGCTTAACGCTGTATTAGTGGGAGGCGCTGGTGCAGTATTACTTGGCGGTTGATAATGAAGCGCTGACAGCGGGGCCGCTCCTGGTGGAGGTTCGGGCATGTATCCTTTACTTAACGCTTCAGCTTGAAGGGAAAGCATCAAGCGATTCGCTGCTTGCCTCTCAGCCTCGCGCTCTTCTGCAGTTTGCCGTCTGTAACAAAAATTAAATATTTATTATCATTATCCAAATAGTTTTGAATGGAGAATATTCTCAACCATTATAATAATGACTCACTTCATGACATGACATTACCCGATTCATAATATATTTTTATCTGAACTATGAAAAGGTTTGATAATTCTTCTTTATTATGACACTAAATAATTTACTTTCTCTAGTGAAGTGTTATGCATTTGTATATCTAGTATGGAATAAATAGACAAACACTTTTATAATGAAATGTGTCTTTACGCAGTTGAATGAATGAATTAAAAATGAAATCTCGAATAGAAAATATAGTTTTGAATAATCGTTAAACTGAATAATATCTTTTAGATATATAAATAGCATATATTATTCATGTCTAGTTAAGAGAATAATTTTAATCTCGATATAAAATCGACATTTTACATCAAACAGCACGAATTGGATATTGACCGTTTGATAAACACTCAATAACCGACACATTAAATTATAATCGCTATAAATCCAATTAATAATAAATGGACCAAACCCTGTTCATAGAATAAACAATCAATCCAGTAGTTTGATTAAACTAAACAAGATCGAACTTAATTCAAAACGATTAAGGTACACATTAGCTTTATGTCTCCATTAACATAATTCTAAGGGTTGGCACATAAATAATGAACACTGCGGCTGAATCGAATAACATTAAAACAATTATCGTTAGCTGCCGCTTAAATGGGACCTTCTGAAATGTCGGTAAATATTACATGAGCTAGAAATGTGCCGTTTTGCCTTAATTTGATTTATGTCATCGGCTAATTGGAGGCAAATGACGACAGCTGAATTAGTTGACTGAATGGAATTTGTAATACTTAGATTATTTCCATTGATGGCCAGCTAATTCATTGTGAATTTGTCATATATTAATTTAGTATTGAATTTGTAATATGTGACATATTATAAAGAGAGATAATGTGAATTTTGTGAGTTTGTGTTTTTGTGAAGGTTTATCACTACGTCACCTGATAAATAATACCATATTCTTATGGAAGATTTAATAGACTAAGAATATTTTTCATCTGTTAAGTTCAATTAGAATGTAATTAATTATTAATTATATTTGTATATTAATAGTGTGTAGGCACACACCATCACTCGCCTAATAGAGACTATGTTTTCCCTCTGGAACCACTATTTTTCACTGTTACTCTATCTACCAACAAACTTTATATTTGAATGATTAGTAAGATAAGGTACAGATTACGTTTATATTAATTTTTAAGAAAATTCCTCTTTTGTTTTATATAAGGATATCATCAGTTGATCCCAGGAGTCAAGCGCGACGTCTGCCTTCATAAACTTAGAACTTGAGCCGCCACGACCGCTCTTAAGGTAGCGTCTTTACTGTTTGCATTATTTATGTTGTAACACCAAATTAGTTGCTCAACCAGTCGACAGATTTTTAATCGTCGATGTAATATTTGGAATATTACGAAATATAAGTGACAAGCCATTGTTTGTACATTTATGTATAAGTTAGTAACAATGTGCTTCTAAAATGGATGGTATCATTAAATTGGTTGTGTTCAAGATTCCTTGAACTTGAACATTTTTAAGTGAAACACAAAAATACAAAATTTTTGTATTCGTATTTGTTAACCTACATTTACTTTACTAACTGTACTTGCACGTTTTTAGTAATATTAATAACATAAGAATATTATATTTCATTTCTCTTGCTGCTTTTTCTTATCATCATTGGTGGCTACACCGACGCCATCACCTTACGGCTTAGATAGTTTATTCTAGAATCTAAGTTCTATTTAGGCCGTTGTGAAGCCGTAGAAATGTATGAATAAATAATTTTGATTTATTCATCAATTTTATGCAATATCCGTTTAAGAATATCTACTAAATCATAAATCTACTTTGCTATAGGTAGATTGAAGTTGATATAAATAACATGACAATGCTATTATTTGAATATTAGTCGTTTTGACCCAGCCGCATAATCAGATACTGCTGTAACCACAACCCAAACTTGGACTAGTTGAGCAACAAGTCGTGCACTCGCGTAATTTTGAATCATTTCCCAGCTAATGATAGGAAGTACCTGGAAGTGGCGAGTATCTAAATATACTCATTTGAGTATATTTAGATACTCAAATTTTTTCCCTTATTTCCCTACTGTCTATAATTTAGATAAATTGCCAGAATAATATTAAATATTATTATTATCACAAAAAAACTATTAATTTAACAAACATACTAGATACTACATTTTCGTATAGATATTCCAAAAACAATTATAAATTTCTCAACGTTGTATAAGTTTACTAAATCTTTTTATTACAAGATTTATAATGAGCCATGGCAAAAAGAATGGCACTAGAAAGACATAGCTCTTCTAAAATCAAAGAAAATGCTACGAAGCTATATTAAAACCTAACTATTGAAATTCTAGAAATTATGAAAGGTTATGCATCTAATAAGTTTAAAAACATACACTAGCTATATATCTATATATAATCTTTGCTAATTGTGGAACAATTTTTATGGTTACCGTGTTTAATCGTAAGGTTTATTCTAGTTAAATACTAGTACTTCATAATAAGTACATACGAATACAATAATTCAAATATTTATTTTGTAATAGCTATAATAATAATGTTTTATTAAATTCTCAGTCTTTATTCAATTTATTTAGTTGTCAATATATTGTATTACAGTACAGTTGTATTATATAAAGGATAGATTATTGTTTCAAATACGCTCAACAATGAAACGATATTGTCGCATCTAGGAGTTTATATTTAGTTCTCAGTTAGATACGTATATAATATTCCAACAACTTAACTCTTAGTGGCCTCTACTTAAAAGGGGTGAACATACTTTACTTTAAGCGTCTCTTAGTCCTAAAATTTTAATTTAGTACAGTAAAAGTCTCTTGAACTTTACCTGATGTTAAACATAACTTAACCGTAAAGTGTAATTACAGAATATGATCACAAACACTTATGAATATTATTCTTAATTTTTAGCAATTTATTTAACAATCAGAGAACATATTTATTTTAAAGAATATAATGAACATTTAATTTAAAATGTTTGTATAATAATGTAATCGGTATATCAATGGACTTAATTTCAGAACATTTCAGCAAAACCAACAATTCTAACTTGTTCATTGCCGACTCTAAAGTTTAAATAAATAATTTCCACATACGATTTTTGGGATAGTCTTCATGCACTTGTAAGTTAACAGAAGTGTAGATGGGTAGAGGTTATTAGAAAATATGAGCAAGATGTCTCCACTCTCAGTGCATTAGGTTGGCTGCAAAATCTCTATCTGACAACCTAATGCAGCGACACTGGATATAATTAGTGATTTTTATATGATACTTAGTTAACAAATATGTATTTCTGATATTTATTACCGCACTTTCCAGTTCCGTTGCACTAAAATGTGTTATATCGCTTTAATTTAAGCTTGAACGTTACTTAATGCAAAAACTTCCTCAACATTAAGATAAATACTGTTAGCTAAGTACATGGTCCTTATGTTGCACTAATTAAGATACCAACAAACCCTTGAGTGGTCTGTTTAGCATTAATTTGCATGTGCAACGAGCGAATATCGACCGTAGTATATTCACAATGAAGTTATAAAGTGCAAAATCGTTTGATTGTACGCTTATAAGTTTGTATAGATGAATGAAGCTTTTAAGTCTGAGACGATATTATCTCGCGGTGTCGAGCAAGTTAAAGAGTCTCAATTATATAAAATGCTTTTATCGTAATTGAAAATTTTCGGTGCCGCGTTGGACCCGATAATAATCGCGACATTTCACTTTAATGTTCTTTATCGTGGTACACGGGCCTTAAATAAATAACAGATTGGGCACTGTGTGTTAATAGGCAATAATATAACATGTTTAATGTTATTCAAAGTTGAACGAACTGACAATATATTATGATATAATATTTTAAACATATTTGAGGACAAAAAAGGAAAATATCCTTATGAGGGGATTTTAATCTAAATAAAAAAAATATACGTAATATATACGTAAATAATTACTACGTAAATAAATAGATATTTAATGTTAAGTTTGCTAATTATTTAATATTAATTCTATTGCATACATAATTGAAGTAAAAAAAGTGTTTAAAAATTTTCTCAACTGTACTGTTATCGTGATTTAATAGGAAAAGAAATAATATTCATAGTTATTTGAAATTATCTGCCTTATTAGATAAGTATATTTTGCGTCTTATTAATTAATATATATGATAAGTAATTAATTAGGGATGTGTGAATGTATGATCTCTCAAACAAGCCTACGCGAAGAAAGTTTAACGTCATAATTCACGTTTATTAAAACAGACAATGGTATGAATATAAAGTTAATTCATTCGTTGAATTCAAAGTTTCGACTGATATACGGCTACCTCGAAGTTTCAAAAGTCTATTCTATACAGACCTCCCACCTCACCTTCGTTTTAATGAGAATTCAGGCAAAAGAGAGAATTGTAACGAGTTCGTAGAGTTCTAATTATGTTGGACGAAATATACCGACATAATGAATGATTGAACAAAGCGTTAAGTCTATTATTGTAGCAAGAACTTTATTAGGACGGTTAATGTAAGCGACTGAGGTGTACACATCATACAAATACCGTCGATGAATTCTTGTAAAAATTAGCATAAAAGGTTAAAATTATTATATGTAACCTAATAGTTTAAAAGTGTCCCATAACACATCAATGGCCTGATTTCCGAGCTACAACATTCTAAGCAAATATCAAATATGTATCGGAGAAGAGAATTTGACACCGGGATAAAATTGGAAATAACTTAATAATTAATTATGTTATCAACTAGCTGCACGGGCACTTCATCCTCGTGGAATTTAACTTATTTTTTATAAAATAAAAGTAGTCTAAGTTACTCCTTATCATATCATGTCATATACATCAGCTACCTGCCAGGAAAAGTCCCGTCAAAATCGGTCCAGCCA